TGTTAATATTAGGCTGGTGGTGTGTTCCACTATCCCCAGTAGACCGCTTCATTCTTCTTCTGCCTAAAGTTCTCTGGCTCAAAAATCACGGTAGTTCAAAAACAGCTTTAAAGTAGTATTTTGTTGGATGGGCCAAAATAATATAAAATGCCTATTTTACCATGATTAGTAACAATCCAATTATTTCTCTTAATGTGTGTGTATGTTGATCAACTTTCCTAAATCTAAAAAATTTTACACTCAGTGTTAGCTGTTGATCCTAGTTACCTCTAACAACTGTAATTTATTCAGGGTTAGTAACTCACGTGACTCCCTTTACAGTCGTTAGATGCATGCAAGTTTGACGGCTAGTGATGGATGTAACACTTTGTACTTGCACTGATTTAAGTTGATTATTTCCATACATGTTATGTTTTTCATCTATTATTTCTTTTCCGAATCTGTTTTTGCTTTTATTTGGATTGGATCCCAATTAGTTTGAGATAAGGTAAAGTTGATGTTGATCTTCAAAAAATGTTTGAACCTTAATGCCCTCTCATGTTGTTTTCTTGTATTTGCAAAATATCGGTCTCAATGATTAATGCCTTTGTTTTTCCTTTTGCAGCAATATATTCACACACTTGAGGCCTCACTCCAGGAGGAAATGTCACGGCATGCCCCTCTGTATGGTGCTGGTCTGGAGGCTCTATCAATGAAAGAGTTGGAAACACTATCACGTATTCACGAAGAAGGGCTGAGGCAGATCCATGCCCTTCAACAGCGTAAAGGGAGTCCTGCTGGGAGTCCTCTTATGAGTCCCCATGCTCTTCCACACAACCATGGATTATATCCTGCCGCGTCACCCCCTGTGGCTGTGGGACTGCCTCCCTCAATCATCCCAAATGGCGTAGGGATCCATAGCAACGGGCATGTCAACGGTGCAGTTGGACCCTGGTTTAACCACTCTTGAATTCTCGGCTCAGATGATGTTATTCTTTTGGGGTTATTTCTTTAGCATTTTGACTGGTAGAACTGTTGGAGCAGGATGTTGGGTAAAAGAGTACCGAAGATTATTGAAGGGGTTGGGTGAAATTTTACCTTACAAATGTTAGATGCGAGTCCAGTGGAACTATCAGTTGCAAATGCCTTACTCATTTGCGCCTACTTCTTTTTGAGGATAAAAAAAAAAAATTAATTAGGTTTTTTAAGTTTCCATAGCTATATCTTACTGTTACTAGATAGTCTGGCCGAAGTCGTTGAATCTATTTATCCTGGGCCAGAATTCAAGCGCTGTAAGAAATCTTGATTCATAGAGTTTTAATACGTAATCTACAAAGAAAATCCTTTTCGCTCTGACTACACACGTGCAGTAGGTTTTGCGTTTCAGGTATATATTCTTCTCTCATATTACCAGTTTCAAAGATTTAAATTCATTTAATCATATTGTGAAAGGAAATTTACTCCTGGATTTTTTGTTTTTAAATTTCTTGTATCGATTTTTTTATTATTTTCTTTTCCTAAAACTTATTCTTTAGGAATAACATAAATAGTGAAGATCTTTGCAGGAGTTGAACCAATCTCTATACGCAATGAAATATTATAAATTTTGCTCCATAAAATAAAACAGATGTACAAATGTCAGGATCATCGTTGCCATGATATGACAATATGCTTAAAAATTATTTATTGTTTCTGTTTATGCATAATTGAACAATAATTTTTTATTATTATTTGAAAAAAAAATAGACAGAATACATTAAAATTTATATTTAGCTTATTTTATTATAAAATGATATTAAAATGGAAGGAATGATCTGTTTACAAAATTCTTTTACAAATTACACTAATTATACGACTGGTTATATACTTTTGATTGAATTATGACCGATCATACTTAGTGTAGTTTATAAACAAAAAATTTGTAAATATAACTTTCTCTTTAAAATGATATAGTGAAAACAGTATACAAAAATATTATAAATTAAGTAATGATTAGTTGTTAGACGAACACATCAAATAAGTTGTCCCACGCCATGGCACTTGTCTGTCCAAATGTTTGTAATATACTCTAAATATGTATTGTAAGTGCAAGCAATAAAAAGGAACTAGGTAAATAATAAAAGTCGTAGTTTTCCTTGAATATGTAAAGGCTAACTTTCGGATTCCCTTAGATCTTATTTTAAGGAAAATAAAATAAAATATATATTATAAAGAACCAATTTAATTTAATCCGAAAACTTAAAAAGATGTTTGGCGAAACAATAATGATCTTATATTATATTTTTCCTAATAATCCAGTCACATAATAGGAACACTGACCAAAATGTCACTGTTCACCAACTTTTTTACCTAAATGCCACGCGAATAGTGTTATTTTCCAATATGTCACGGGGGCAAGTTCGCTACCCTGTGTAGCGAACTCGGTTTGCTGACGTGTCACATTTTTAATGGATAACAAGTATCAAATTTTAAAAAAATAATAATAATAAAAAATGAAGGTCGCCTACCATGCAGGCGAACTTGGTTAAAATCAAGTTGGTGTCTACTATAAACGTGACACGTCAGCAAACCGAGTTCGCTACACCCCGTGGCAGATTGAAAAATAACACTTTTTGCGTGACATTTAGATAAAAAAGTTGGTAAACAGTGTCATTTTAGTCACTGTTCCCACGTAATAGCTCATTAAACTAACTTAAAGAGTCGAAAAAGTAAAAACTATATAAATTCTATATTTAATCTCCTCAGCCATATGGAGTATGTGGAAGACATCAAATCTCTTAGCTGGTTGATTCAGAGTAAAATGTCTCGTCACATCTCTTATTCCCTGCTTGAGCCTCCAATACTCTTATTGTCCACCTTTTTCAACCTGGGAATATCTGAAACATCCACCTGCACTGAAAAAGCCTCCCATCTTAGCACATCACTGAGGGCAACACATAATGTATACTTTAATATGATCACTTGCACGCATTCAGCATAAATTGACTCCACCATTCTGGGGCTAGCCATTTCATGCCCACTTGACAAAGGCAGAACTTGGAGTTGAACATGAAGAAATAACCATAAGATATTAATTAACCGTTGCATGTATTCCCTTTTTTTATTTCAAGAAATTAAACTGAAAATTTCACCCTTTTTTTTTTCTTCAAGAAATTAAACTGAAAATTTCCTTTTTTTTGTCATCACACAATTTTTCCAAATTTAAGAGTCACGTTACATGGCTCCTGATGCAGCAGTAAATAATTTCGTAATAATAATGATGAGATGATGACAGAAACCATGCATGAAACAAACAAACAAACTAAGCGACCCGTGTTAATTATTTTAGAGGTGATGCAGAAACATCCATAAAAGGCGTTAAGTATTAATTAATGAATTTAATCAATAGTAAATTCGTGGGTGACCACAAGTTCAAACTTAATTATAATTCCGATTAGGTTTCGAACTTGGGGGTGACCACAACAAGGCACTTATACAATGTTCAATAGTCACAAGACTCACAATAAAAGCAGTACACAACAAGCAAAGAGTTTTTTTTTTTTTCGCAGTTAAATTATTATTAAAATAGCACATTCAATCTTCTTTTTCAAACTTTTTTTTTTTGTGTTAGCTATTTTTTGTTATGTTTTCGTGGTGAAATTTAATCACAACATTGTCTCTTTATACCCAATGAATTTAATGAATCAATTTGCACGCAGTGGTATTGCACTTTACAGGCTATATATAGGACTTAAATAAAGGCTTAGACTGTGAAGATTGCTCGAAAACTGCAAAGCCCAAGTAAACACAGGTTTACATACATTTCATCATCTTGGTTCAAAAATTTTGTCCTGGATCACTCTTTTACTCTTCAAATAAGAAGGACATTTTTTTTTGTCATCGTGTTAGAAATAGCAAAGCTTTTTCTTTTTAAATAAATACATACTCACAATCAATTTAATATTTTAAAGTTCATTTGTTTATTTCTACTTTCATGATTTATGTATTTACTAAGTTAATTGCATCTTAAACACTGACCGAAAATTTGTTTATTATTAATTTCAAAGTTAACTTAGTTGAGTCAAGTCTAAAATGATTTAACTTATAATTATGTGCTTTATTAATGAGTAAGTTAAGAAAATAGAAAAAAAATAATAATAATTCGATCAGTTTTTATTCACGAGTCTCGTTTTTATACTTTTTGCTTTCGTACATCTTTTAGTGTTTTATTTTGTGATTGTTTATATTTACACTTTAGTTGTTTGATCTTGAGTTAATATGACATAGTTTATACTATTATTTTATCACATAAAGCACAATCATTTTGTATTATGCTTATATTTATTGATAGGTTAATCCGTCACTAGAATTAGAAAAAATCAATGCACAATTCAGTGAGAAAGAAGCAAGTGAAACAAACTTTTTTAGTTTTGTTAATAACTAATAACTACATTATTGGAAACTACATCCAGCTTATAACTTTGTTAACAGTGGATCCTTATCATCGATTTTACGTGTCGTCATAATTCGACAATACTCATCTCATCATTTCAACAAGCACGTATATTACTTTGTCAATAATCAATGAATGTTTGCATTAACCAAAGGATGATAGTTCATTTAGTGTATGAAAACTAAGCAGGTGGAGGTGATCGCATGTGTTTGATATTCTCCAGTATTATCTTTGAAAGGAGTTTAAAACTTTAATCCTAGCTCCAAATAATATTGAGGATACATGTGATTTAAAAAAAATAAAAATTGAATGTTTGCATTATGTATGATAAATTGATAATAACACAAATTTGATTAATTAATTAATTAATTAATGCCCACAAACACCTGGTTAAACGTAACTAACTCATCAACAGACACACACTCCTCTCTCTCTCTCTCTCTCTCTCTCTCATTCTCTGTTCCAACAAACATGGCCTGAAAAGTGAAAACCATGCTTGAGCTCAACAACTACAAAGGCGAAGCAGATTCACAATTTCCTATTCTCTCCTCGCATTGGCTATAGTGTTTTTTCTATTTCACTTGCGAAAATGGGATTCATCAGTGGTATGATCGTTGGTATCGCCATTGGTATGGGATTGATCGTCGCATTTGCTCGTCACGAAAGCGCCCGATCCAAGCGTCGTTCAGATTTGGTATATAATCTCCAATCCACATTCCTTTCATTTTAACTCTTTCTTCCATTCCATAATATATAATAATACGAATCGATATTTATTAATTTGTTACCGTTCGCGTTTTGGTTTCTGTGAATTGATTTTAGGCGAAGATGATAGCAGAGTTTGCGAGAATGACGGTGGAAGATTCCAGAAAACTTCTACCTCCCAAGTTCTATCCGTCATGGGTTGTCTTCACTCGGAGACAGAAGTTTAGTTCAACTTGCTTGCTTCATTCCTCTCTACACTTTTACTTACAGTACCTTCAATTTTGGTCTGGGTTCTGATGTTGATTTGTTCATTATCTGCAGTTAAATTGGCTCAATAGCCAACTCGAAAAGATTTGGCCGTATGTTAATGAGGTACTTTACTTTTTGTTTTTCTTTTATAAAGTTTGTTGATACATATTCACTGAATGAGATCTAGACTTTTGATGCAATGTGGAAATATATGTACTTAGGCAGCGTCAGAGTTGATAAAAAGCAATGTAGAACCCATTCTTGAACAATATAAGCCTATTATTTTGTCTTCCCTCACCTTCTCCAAGTTGACCCTTGGCACTGTGGCTCCACACTTTACAGGTTAGCTACATTATTATCGTTCCTTTGAATTTTCAATCATGTCTTTTTTATGTTATGACTAATGGGTAGCCTTATATTTTGTACTTACGTGCTGTGCTTGTTATTAGTTCATAATTAAAAATTCGAAAACATTGAGTGTGAACTCGATGGTCTTCTATTTATTAAAATGTTGGCTTTGTTCATTCCTGTAATATCATACTGATACAGAAATGTGCTGCTTGAAATATTTAGGAATTTCAATTATTGAAGAGGATAGTGGGCCTAATGGAGTGACTATGGAGTTTGAGATGCAGTGGGATGGTAATCCGAATATCGTTCTTGACATTAAAACCCGTGTTGGTGTTGTACTTCCTGTGCAGGTGATGCATAAATCATTGCTCAATTATGTCTTTTTGCATCCTGATGATATTTTCTAAATTCGTTGTGCACAGTGCACTTCAACTGGCCACAAAGTTCAATTTGTATTAGGCTCGCTTTGCGTATTAATTTTAAAGTAAATATCATCTTTCGTCCTCGTTAAATTAAATGAGGTCCGCTTTAGTCTCTAACAAATAAAAAGGTCTATAGTAGTTCCTAAGAAATTTAAAATGGACTAATTTTAGTTTTTTTAAGGACTAATATGGGTCTGTTTTGAATTTATGAGGGACCACGATTTCAACTAAATGGGTTCATATCACAATAAGCTTTTTTATTTGCTAAGAACTAAAGCGGACGCCGTGAAATTTGCACCAAAAATAATATTTAGTCTTAATTTTATCTTTCTAAGAGGAAGTGAAAGCAAGCGACCTTTCTGACCAAGAGATTAATTTATGTACATTACAATATTTGATAGTCCATCTCTGTTTCTTTTTGTTACCTTTTATTGTTAAGAATAAGTTGTGTCTTTCAAAGTTTAAATTCTATTCACCTCATTATGCCACGTAGTTTGTTTATTGAATTTTATGTTCTTGTCGTCCAATAAATAAAGGTAATTATTTTTCTTATGTAATATAAGATAAATTAATTTTCCTAGTCACATATAAAAAGATGAGACTTATTTATATTTTTTTCTCTCTTATATTCCCACTCCTCTCTTCTCTATATATGTTTGTAGGAAAGAGATTTTATCTTATGTCACTTTAAACAAATAATTTCCCATAAATAAATGCTGGGTAATGTACTTCCGGTCAACCTCAAAAAGATATGCCGAATAAGATTAATCTAAATGTTCTCTCTCATAAAACAAAATTCTGAGAGTTTTTTTTTTTTTTTTTTTTTTTTTTGTACAGAATGCTCTCTTTTAGGGTGTTCGCGGTCTGGATTGGATCGATTTTGGAAGCAAAAAATCATCCGATCCAATCCATTCGGTTTGATCATGTAATCATCCATTCGGTTTGGATTTTTTTTCGAATCCGATCCAATCCAATCCAATTTTTTTCGGTTTGGATTGGATCGGTTTTCGGTTTTTTGAAAATCCTAAAATTTGTTTCATAATTTTTGTGCAAATAACATCTTTTGTATATATTGGCTTTGTACATTTTTTTTGAAATACAAAAGCATGAGTAAATAATAATATAGTTTTTTTTTGGACAATGAGATATGAAGCTCTACACAAATGAAATTTTATTGATGAGATGTGACTAGATTTTTTCTTGGGTTTAGTTGATGGGTTGATGAGTCTTGAGTTTAGAAATTTTTGGGCTATGATTGGGGCAAACTCAAGTAGATAGAGAGAAATTAATATATTGGATCGATTTGGATTGGATCGGTTTTCATTAATCAATCCGAAAACCGATCCAATCCAATTAAAATTTGCGGTTTTTTTCGGTTTTGATTTTTCGATTTATTCTATTCGGTTACCGCGGTTTGAATCGGTTGATGAACACTTTACTCTCTTTTGAGAGGGGCGTGTTAGTGTTAGAGTTATATAAAATTATTATTATTTTGTAAAGAATGCTCTCTTTTGAGGGGGTGTGTGTTAGAATTATATAAAATTATTAAAGTGACATTCATTTAATAACTTAAATTTTTGAGTTGAATTGGTTCTTTAAGTTCTTATGAATTCCACACTAGTTCTCTATACAACCAATGTGGGACTCTAAGTCCTATATACCTTGCAAATGGGTCCTAACATTCCACCATGTTCTGCATCTCCGGCGCCCACAAGGGCTAGCTTTGTGCTAGTTTTTTACTAGCCTCAAGCGAACACTGCAATGCCGGCATCACCACCCGCACTGTTCAATTGCAACCGGGAGATATAGTGAAAGACTATGATAACGAGTTAGCTTTTGGGTGATACATCTCAAGATTTTTATCATTATCATATTAGAGTCTTACGTCTTGCGTTCGATCCTAACCGATCCTTATTTTTTTTGTAAAATTTCTTAGCACATGGTGATACATCTCAAGATTTTTATCATTATCATATCAGAGTCTTACGTCTTGTGTTCGATCCTAACCGATCCTTATTTTTTTTGTAAAATTTCTTAGCACATGTAGACTGAGCCTGATGTATCATCCAACTTTCTAGCCGAATATGCTCTCCCATCAATGATTTATATACTTGTGTGACATTTTTTTTTAAGAATACAAAAGAAAATCATATTTGAAAATCAAAGGAAGGTTGTCATGCTAGTTCTCGTGAATATTATCAACCTTCGTCTACATTATTTATCTAGACAAGTTTGTTTCCCTATGCTTCAGAGAAATTATATTTCAGCGCATATGTCTCTGTTTTTTAAAACAAACATCCAAACATCTTCATTTAGGCTTCGGTTATCTTTATTAGAAAAAGATTTGCATACTTTTCAAGGATCAATTTATAAGCTGGATTGTGCAACTCAATCTGTTAGTAGCATCATTTATGACTTTGCATTTGTCAGCATTTATTTTAAGTTATTCCTTATCATTCTGTTCTTTCTCTTTCCTGGCAACTTGTTTATATAGGTAAAAAATATTGGATTCACTGGGGTTTTCAGGTTGATCTTCAAACCACTAGTAAATGAGTTCCCTGCATTTGGAGCTGTTTGTTTTTCCTTGAAAGAAAAGGTCAGTTATATTGCTTGTAAGTTATGCTTTTATTGGGGAAATTAAAAATAAAAATAAAAAATTTCAATATTTCTTTGTGCGAGAAATATTTCAACATGTTGAAGGTTGGGTAATTTGCATGATATTATTTAACGATACCTCTGTTCTTTGATGTCATGTAACTGGAAACGAACATAGCTTCAGGGAATTTTAGCAACAGAATGCAGATTCGTACTTTGGTTACATAGCAGTCAATGAGTGTTTGTTCAAATATGTGTAAACTACTTAATCCAAGTACTAATTCAAATTTTCTGCTTTTTCTTTGTTTTGCCAACAGAAAGATCTGGATTTTACACTTAAGGTTGTTGGCGGTGATATATCATCTATACCGGGGATATCTGATGCAATAGAGGTATAAGCGAATCTTATCTTTATATGGTACTTTTGTTATTCCTTTGATTTATGTTGTATTAGTTTGTAGATGCTATACCTCTATTGTGTAACTGAATTAGTTTTAGCATGTATCTAATCTTTACGTGTAACTGAATTTCCTAGTTGTGTAATTAATAATCAGTCATTATAATATTTTTTTCCGCGTAATAAACTAAAAACAGTTTAATGGTTTCACTAATTTTAATGTTGACTGTTACTTTTAATTATTGAAAATCTTTCTTATTTATGCAATGTTTTAAAATGTATAACTCCTACTTGTATTTACTTTTTTTTGCTATTCTTCTGGAGATCTCCTATGTTGGTTCTGAAATTTTGTCATCATTCTCTTTTATGTATGTCTGAGATCCGAGGTTTGAATAGATGGTGCAATATAGTCCTAATGCATTGTAATTTAAATCATTGACAAGTATAACCAATTACAAAAGTTAGGGATATTAATAACTTTTTAACTCATACAGTTCTCTACTTCAGTAATAAACCCCTTTGCTATTTATTCAGGAAACAATTCGAGATGCCATTGAAGACTCTATAACTTGGCCAGTACGCAAAATTATACCAATTATACCTGGGGATTACAGGTAGGCAAATGTTCATTCTCACTTAAGCATGTGCACGCATCTTACTCTGTCCATGCAGAGCTAGAGAGTAGAGACTACTAGAAGGAATCGCAGGTATTAGTATATTTTCACTAGGTTGGCAAAATGAAAATTACAGACGCACGCACCATTCATTTCTTTGGATCTTCTTATTTTTAAGTTAGAAGCTACTTATAAGCTAGCTAAAGTTAAAAAAAAGAGTTTAAAGAAAGAAGCTAAAAGCTGTTTGGAAATTACATAAAAGTTTTAGCTTAAAAATGACTTAAAAACACATATTTCAAGAAAATTATCTCTCTCTATCTTTATCACTCTTCATTTTAAAAAAAAACACACAATTTAAGAAAAACAGATAAAAGCTTAAAAAAAAGCTCCTCCTAAGAACTTTTTTCTTCGTTATAAGAAAAAGAACTTTTCGTTATAATAGCTTAACAATAACTGCTTACCTTAACGGAGTTAGTAAAAGTTTTAGAAACTAAACAGCGAAACAGCGGTAAGCACAATTTCTATCTTGGGCAGCAGCAACAAATATTTTTAGCCTTTGGCGAGCTTGAGCTGAAGCTGACCTTGAGCTGGCCTTTTTCCCCCAGTTTGAATCCGCCTCAGGTTTCATCAACAGAAAAGAGGTTATCCTAGCAAGGCTTGATGATTTAGAACTTCAGCTGATTCACCATTTTCTTGTTGGACTTTGGGATGACTTCGAGTAAATGAAACCCATATTAACTTAAGAGAGTGGCTGCCTTGGTTGCTCATCTGTGTTTATTTCATTCAATTTTAGCATAATAAATTAATGTCATCTTTGCTCCTAAATGTGCTTAACCTTTTTATCCTTTTCTTTGTCTTAATCATCGCAGTACCATGCATATCCTTATGCGTATATTATAGCACTGTTCTATTTTTGTTTATTCTATTCCGTATGATTAATTGTTTCTTCCTCTTGCAGTAACCTAGAGTTGAAACCGGTTGGAACACTGGAAGTTAAACTAGTGCAAGCAAAGAACTTAACAAATAAAGATTTGATTGGGAAATCCGATCCTTTTGCTGTCATGTTTGTACGCCCACTTCGGGACAGAACCAAAACCAGTAAAACAATCGTAAGACAACATTCTTTTCCGAGAAAACCGAAGTGCTTCCTTTTTTTGGTTTTTTTTATTTATTGTGTGGTTATAATCAAACTGATGGGCATGTTCAGAACAACCAGTTGAATCCAATATGGAATGAGCACTTTGAGTTCATTATTGAAGATGCGTCAACGCAGCACTTGACCATAAGAATTTTTGATGATGAAGGCATTCAGGCTGCTGAACTTATTGGCTGTGCCCAAATTTCGCTGAAGGACCTTGAACCTGGTAAAGTCAAGGATGTATGGTTGAAACTGGTTAAGGATTTGGTGGTCCATAGGGATAACAAGGACAGGGGGGAGGTAAGATATATAATCGTAGTGTCTTCGTAATATTCATCTAGTATTCTAGCTGATCGATGCTGATTGCCAAGTGGTATGCCTAAAATATGAAACCAAGTGCTCTCAAGTTTATCAAGTATATTGATTTATGGACACTATATTTATGTTATATGAATATCTGTCAAATGAGAAAACACATATTATAACTGTGTAATGAGCATCGAATCAGGTCTTTTCTTCGTTACTTGTCATTTGCCTTCTTTGTTATCTTGTAGTGTTCTACTCGTACAAATTCATATTACAGCAATTCATAAATCTTCTTGAGCTTCCAGTCATCTTCATATTTATACATTCCCCATAGGTGCACTTGGAGCTCTTGTACTGCCCATATGGAGTTGATAAGAGCTTTAAGAACCCTTTTGACCCTGACTACTCGTTAACCACGTTCGAAAAGACCCTCAAGAGTGAAGCTGACGAAGAGTCTGAGAATCTTACAAGATCATCACCCCGGAGGAGAAGCAACGTGATTGTAAGAGGGGTTCTATCTGTGACAGTGATTTCAGCTGAAGACTTGCCAGTAGTGGATTTGATGGGCAAGGCTGACCCATTTGTTGTCCTTATGTTGAAAAAATCGGAAAAAAAACTCAAGACCAGGGTAAGATTTAGGACATTTTTGACGTGACACTTTTGCTATATTAGAGTGTTTTACTTAATTTTAATTTGGTCATGAGCAAGATAAATTGAAATGATTGAATCGATTATCAACTTGAAGTAATTTTGAATGAAAATTAGTTAAAAACGTATTAGAAAATCTTTTTGTTTTGGATTTACAATTTTACATGCCAAACACTAATTTTTAATTGATTCATATGCAAACACTGATTTCAATATAGTTATAGTAGATTAAATCATTATTCTTGTGTTCTCAGGTTGTAAACGAATCCCTAAACCCAATTTGGAATCAAACATTCGACTTCGTTGTGGAGGATGGCTTACGCGAAATGTTAATTCTTGAAGTCTGGGATCATGATACGTTTGGCAAGGTGATACCTCTTGAATTTTCTGTCGAAGTTGTTTGTTTCTAATTAGTAACTACTGCTTGGGTTTAAAACCTCATTCAATAACTTCTAATTAATAAATTCTTGTCGTCCTAATATTTTGATAGCCATTTTCTTTGGCTTGAACAGAGCAGTTTGATAGCTAGCATTCTTGGTTTTTATTAATTGAGCAACCACTCCTTCAATTAAAAAGCAAGAAAGAAATTGGCATTTTCTTGCATCGAATTTTTCTTTTATTTGTTAGTATACGTGATGTACTACGGTCATGAATAAGTTACATGTGATCTAAACATTTAATTATTTTTCATGTTTAGTGTATTGAGAATGTGTGGCTTCATGAGTAAGTGGGATTTGTCTAGGAAAGATACTTGGATATACCATATGAATTGTTCTATATGAGTGAGTACATTGAGCCTAATTTAAAAATCCAATCCACTATATCATTAAAGGATTTAATGTTCAGTCTCGTTCTTTCTCCGATGGTGATGGTCTAATGTACTTTTTTTTCTGATGAAAAAATAGCCTTTAGACTATACTTTGAGGATAAAGCAGTCAAAGGAGATTGAATATAACCGTTGGATCAACATAATCGATCTAACGGTGAGATTGATTGGTAGTCACGTGGTAGTAACACAACTTGGTTGTCACAATATCTTTCCTCTTGAATTTCTCTCTTCCTTAATTTCTTAAGTTCCATTTAGAGTAATTTGGAGTTCGGGCGAGTACAGGATTGAGGTTTTGATTCCATAGGTTCTCGATAGACTAAATTGGTATTGGGAAGGATCGAACACTTGTTCATACTCCTAACTTTCAGCTCTCATACACCAACTGAACTACCATCAGTACATGATTTATATAGAGAATCTAACTTTCACAAAAAAAAAAATTAAATTAAAGAAAGTTTAGAGTGTTATTTAATAACTAGCATAGATGCACGGGTACAAATATGTGTAACTAATATTATTCATTTACATATCAAATGGGATGGTTATATTTATTATGATTTTAATTTTATTATTCTTATTATTTGATTAGTTACTATTGGATCAATTTAAAATCAACGGTAATTAATTTTTCTCATTTTTAACCTTTAATTTCAAATTGATCTAACAATAATTAATTAGTTAATAAGCATAATAAGACAAAAAAGTAGTAAGTATAACCTTCTTCAACTTTTAAATACAATTTTTACTAAGAATAAGATCTAACCAAATAGTGGTAGCTCATTTGGTAGAAAAAGAGCAGAATAGGTGGAAAGGAAAGAGTTTCGGTTCGATCCCTACATGCCCTTTTGATAAAAGTTTAAATATCTCTATCCTTGACCCGTCTCCCACTTCAGATTAGTCTCATAACCAATTTAAAGAGGGAGGCGCCTTAAAAATATGGTTGGGTTAACAAGAATAAGATATCAATTTAACTGATACATCTCACTCACACTGTTTGATGTTAATGAAGCTTCCCATGTGGTTCAGACTTCAGACTGCCGCTGTGGAGATAAATCCTTATTCTCCATAAAATGTATTAGATTTGTGACTGATAAGCTGATCTACGGCCATGAGCTCACAGAAATTGTAAATTTGACTCAGCAAACTGTTGATTTGAAAGATAATTAATTCAACAATGCTGTACAATTTGTTGGCTGAAATCCATAAATTAGATCTTTTGCCCTAATTTTTTTATGATCAGTCTTGTGCATATAATTGTCTTATATGTTTACTGAATTTATATGTTGTCTTGTCTCCTCGGCTCCTCGAGTCATCAGTTTACCGTCTTCATCTCAATCTTATACTCCATTTTTCTCAAATCAGTATCAAATTGAGTGTTTTCGGTAAATGCATGAATTTTTCAGGAAAAAATTGGAAGAGTGCTCATGACACTTACTAAGGTCATATTAGAAGGGGAATACCAGGAAACTGTTCCTCTAGATGCAGCTAAATCCGGAAACATTACATTCTATCTGAAGTGGACTCCGCAGCACAAGTACCGGGATCCTTAGCAGACTTCACAGTTGGCTCAGCACAATCGACCGCGTGAATCAAAATCAAAATCATTACTGTCCATTTTCTATACTCGACTTATTTTGACAATTTGGAATTGGCACACCTTTCAGTATCTGGTTGATTATCGAAGCCACATAAGATTCGAGGAGAAAATGTGTACGGTTTGAACAAACAAAAGCATTACATTTCCTTTGTAAATATAGGTTATTACAGTCCGTTGTTTTTTGTTCCCTTAAAAGAAAGGGAAAAGCAAAACAATTTAGAGGGTATTTAATTTGAATTAAGATTTTAAAAGATTAATTTGAGATACATTTTTTTTATATTTTAAAAAGTTATATAGAATTGTAGTGACTTTAAAGACTTTTTTAAAAGATTTTTTTTACAATCAAAATTTTATAAAATTGTATTTTAAAGGATTTTAATAGAATTTAGAGTAAATATCATACTCAACAAAAAATACGGAATCATTTTAATCTCTTAGAAAAAAAAAAGTATCTATATTAGTCCTTTTTGAGCTTCTTTGAAATTCTGAGGCACCACAATTTCAAAGAACTAAAATTTCAAAGGGACCATAAGTCAATTTTTTTTTACTAAGGGATTAAAATAGATTTTGTGTTTTTTGTTGAGGACCCATCTAGAATTTATAAGATTTGAAAGAATAATAAAACTTTATAAGATTTTTAAAAATCATATAAATTTTTAACGAACATTCAAACTAACAAGAGTCAATAAAAAAATAACAAAGAAATGCAATGATATTAATAAAAAAAATAAAACTCAATATAATTTTCTCAATTAGTAATTTGATGTAACTTGATGTCCTACTAAGCAGCAGCTTTCCACATATCTATATTAGCCCTCCACACATTAGCATCTTCTCGTTTTTGCTTTTGGGTTTGATCAATGAGTTAAAGATTATCTTCTTCATTTGGTATCAGAGCTATGCATATATGATTATACGACTCACAATTCTTTTACTTATTAAAATAATTCAAAATTTGCATATAGAACTTAAAGTTCATAATAAAATTTTGTTTGTAATTTTTTTATAGATCTTGGAAACCTTGGGGTTTTTATTCTACGTGATGAGAGCTTTTTAACCATATATCATACGCATGTTTTTATTGAGTATTCTAAGAAGATTTCGCATACGAATTTCTGGGTTTTATTACATTAAAATTTTGAAAATTTCTCAAATTATTTTCAATCGATACGTTGAAACCTTAAATTATTTTGAGACTTTTGAAAAACAAGTTTTTAGAGATCTATTGACACAAAAATTATTTGAAATCATTTGCTATAGCGAAGGAATTTCGTTCATTAATGTGTTGTTACAAAACATACGATTCATATTGTGAAAGTTTCAATCTTTCTTTAAATCGATCTCATTTCATTGAAGTAAAACGAAAATTGGTTTGAGAGTTTTTGTTCCCCAGTTATTTTCCTACTATTTTATGTTTTTTTAATACAAAAATCACACCTTTAGTGCCAAGAAAAATCGTGATCCATAGCTTGAAAAATCATTTTTTAAACTTTCAAGAGCTCTAAAAAATCGCTCAAAAATCTGCTATTTTTAAATGGATTAGATTATAATATTGTTGGGTTATTGTTTCTAGATTGTTTTGTGATAAAAATTGCTTAAAAATCTGCTATTTTTGAGCTTTGACGAATTCACGTGGCGAAACCCGATTTTGAGTGAGTCGACCCGCCAAAAGAAGAAATACTGCAGAAGAAAAATATCAAGAAATCTTAGGAGTTAGAATGAGATTGTGAGAGAGTAATCCTATTTATACTTCTCACTAAAAAGTCTCACGAAATTACACTAATAAAAAATTCACTAAAATCGTTAGATTTTTGAATACCATAAGATTATTTTTTCTTTATTTAAAATCCTGATTGAATACCACTAAATTTGGATGGACTTTAAAATAATCTTTTAAAATCCTAATCGAATATCACGATACTTTTTTCAATCATTTAAAATTCTTATTGAATATTAATAATTTTTTGTCCAAAAATAATCCATTAAAATCTCAATCGAATACACTCCTTAATTAATTTAAATTTAAGGTGTTTTTCATATAATATTATTGAATCTCCTGTGTTAAAATTATTGTTCGCGCTAGCATAAAGTGTAAAATATTTATGACACACAGCACCAAAAGTATTTTGACATAATCATGACTAATACCAATACCACATAACCAAAAAGAAAAAAGAAAAAAAAAACACAAAATTAAAAGAAGAACGAAACCATGCCTCTATGAACAAGAAGAACGAGTAGAAGAAAAAATAAATTAGAAGAGCTATCGACTGCCAAAAAGAAAAACGGGAGAAGAAGAAGAAATTGGAAGAGCATGAAGAAGAAAACCATCCCAAGAAAGAGAAATTGGGGATTTAAGATTTAGGTAAAAAAAAAATGAGTTGACTCACGATTAACTCCACCTAACCTAAAAGAAATAAGGGTCATTGAAGCTACGGTAAAAAATAACTATCACATATGGACTGAAAAAAATAGGAGTAAAATTTGAAGTTGTAAGATTAGTATGGGAGTTAGAGTCCGTTTTGATAGCTCTACTCCAACTACGCATACCAGATTTAATTTTAACATGTTCAAATTCATTATTTAGAAATTACTGTACAAAACTCAATGATTTCCCCAACTATTAATCAACCTAAACTATTGAGTACGACTGTATTGCGTGCCAGGTTGCCAGCTCACTTACGTACTCGATTGAAATGCCATCTTATAAATATTAACTTTGAAAAGCTAACACGATGGCATAGAGTAAAGGAACACTGATCAAAATATTACTGTTTATCAATTTTTTTATCTAAATGTTACGATAACAGTCTTATTTTCCAATCTTCCACGGGGTGAGTTCACTACCCGGTGTAGCAAACTCGGTTTGCTAACGTGTCACGTTTCTAGTGGACACCAAATTCACTACACGGGGTAGCGAACTTGATTTTAACCAAGTTCGTTAACCTATGTAGCGACCTTCAAACATTTTTTTTTTAATTTGGTACTTGTTATTCACTAGAAATGTGACACGTCAGCAAACCGAGTAGCGAACTTGCCCCCGTGACAGATTGGGAAATAAGATTGTTCGCGTGGCATCTAGGTAAAAAAGTTGGTGAACACTGTTCCATAGAGTAAGAAGGACCACTCAAAAAAATGCCGATAAAATGATGTACTTTCTTGTTCACGCATAAATTCATTTACATCACACTTAGAATTGATTTTACTCACCAAATTTTTTTATTTTTTATTTTATAAACGAAGAAGGAGTAAAGCCCCAAAAGAAACAATTACAAAATAGTAGATAAAGACCGACAATGAGAAGCATTCTTAGTCAGGAGCTCCAAAAGTAGAGAACATGGATTTCAATAAAACTAAAATTTCTCTTACCATCAAGAGGTGTCGTTGTTAGCCAGTGAGCACATGTATTGTTCTCTCTCCTAATATGACTGCATATCACAATCCAATCCATTGAAAGTCATTTTTGAATATGGAAAACAACCTGGGAATGTTTGGGATTGTTTCTTGCATCCTTTATTGCAGAAATAGCATGTACCACGTCATAATCCAACTCTACTCTCCTTGCACCCATTCCCCAAGCCAGCTCCAAACCTTTAAGAATCTTCCAGAGCTCTGCATCTAAAGGATTACAATACACAAGGCCAAACGTAAATCATCCTAGAAAGTCTCCATTGTGATCTTTGATGAGCCCACCACAACTAGCTTGCTTCCTTAAGGAAGATGAAGCTCCATCTGTGTTGATCTTCAACCACCAAATTTTTCAACTAAATACAAAAATTACTCAAACCATTAAGACTGATCTACGGTGTGCATGACAATTTTTCGAAAATCAGTTTTATTTTATTTTATTTTCGGGAACAAAAATAGATAGAAACAATGTTTGAAGAAACCAATTTATTTTTTTGTTCCTGAGAATGAACTAGTGCAATTTCTGTGATGAGTAACAACAAAAAGAATAATTTTTTTGTTTTTTTGTTTCTTGGGACAAAATGAGAAACATTGTCTCTCTCAATCACTCTCCACTACTACCATCATCACCACCACCATCCTGACACGACCACCGCCACCATCATCGCCGCAGTCATCACCATCACCGTGATGTCACCGCCATCATCACCACCATCACCGTCACTACCACCATCGTCACTACCACTATTACTATCGTCGCAATCACTGTCGTCACCACCACCACCACAACTACCATACCGCCGCCATCACTATCATCACTACCACCATTGACGCTATCACCACCACCACCACCACCATGATGCCAACACCACCATTACCACTACCATCACCGTCATCATCGCCACCATTATCACTACCACCGCACCATAAGAAAAGAAAAGTGATGATCCGAAATTCTTTTATGTTTAGTAGGAATATTTTTGATTCTATTATTTTTATGTTATCAAACGTAATTTTCATTCTCGAAATAAAAATAGAACATGTTGTCAAACATATTTTTTTCTAAAAAATTGTTCCAACGCACAGAAATAGACAAAAATTGTTTCTTTTCATAAACATTGTCAGAGAACAAAATGATTGTCATGCACACCCCTAGTGACGAAAGATTTGAATAATTTATATAAGGTAATGGATTCAATATCAGTATCACCATTGTATGAAATAAAAAATAAAAAATCACTGTAGCAAATAATTCTGTTAAACAAACCCCTGATTTTAGTGGTTGCAAATTGTGAAACAGTACATACAAAAGAATAAATTATTCTCGTGTGACATAAGAAATCAATAACCCAAATAATAAATAGATTTTAGTAGTAAAAAAAAAAATCCCTAGTTGAATTTTATGATATGTTATTGAATTATATAATGAATTTAATAATAAAAGTAATGTAAAAATATACTTTTTATTATATTTAGTAAAAGGAGTATCGACTGAAAATATTTTCCAAGTAATTGTGAGATTTAAAACAGAACATTAATTATATTTCAAACTCTAGATGGTGTGAAGACTAT